ACTGTTTAATGAGAAACTATTTGTTCTGTAAACCTTCATCTAAGGTGCCAAAAAAAAGAATTATCTGTATGAGATCAAACTGACAACAGCAACTCAAAAGGTTTGATGGGACACCTAAGGGGGCAGTGAGTAGAAGATATTGGTGATGGAATAATTTGGAAAAGGATAGTGAGAATAGCAGCACAACTGGAAGAATGTAGTCAGTGTCACTGAATTGTACATGTAGAAATTTCTGAAATAGGGTAACTTTGGCTATATTTATTTTCACCAAAAAAAAAAAGGTCCTCCAAGGTCAGGAAGGGAGAGTGTTGACGTGTGGTAGGGTTGTTAACCAATGTCATAAAACAATATGTGAACTGACTGTTTAATGAGAAACTATTTGTTCTGTAAACCTTCATCTAAAGTACAATTTAAAAAAAATTCAAAAAATAAAATTTATTTTTTTTGAGTTTTTAATCACAAGTACCTTGCTAAAGTTACTCATTTGATAATTTATCAATAGAATCTTTTGGTCATTTTACATACACAAAAATAACATCTGAGAATAACGAGAGTTTTATTTCTTTCACTTCAACCCTGTCTTTCTATGCAGTCTCTGATCAGAAATATGATGTTGAATAGAAGTAGGGTCGTGGACATTGTCATTTTGATCAGGGTCTCAAAGGGAGAACTTTGTAACCTTGCGTGATGTTTGCTGTAGGTTTTTTTTTGGTAACTTCTATTAGGTTAAAGGAGTCTCTTCTGTTCCTAGTTTGCTAAAAATTATGACCATGAATACCAGTAAACCTCCATTTGGATGTGTAAGTGTCTGTGGAATCTCTGGAGTTCCTGGGTTAATGGCGCTCTGTGTTAACCAACCTTTTGGTGGTTTGAACCACCCAGAGGCTCCTCAGAAGTGAGGCCTGGTGATCTGCTTTTGAAAAATCAGCCATTGAAAACTGGTAGAGCACAGTTCTTCTCTGACACACATGGGGTTGCCATGAGTCAGAATTGACTCCATGGCAACTGGTTTGGTGTTTTTTTTTTAAGACTGTCTAGTTAAGTCACATTCAGAGCAAGCAGAGGCATATCACATGCCTATACACAGAGATTCATCAACTCTTCTCCCTTAACCCAATCTGGCTCTAATTTTGCAGTATAAGTGAGTGCATTTTCTTGAGATGGTTGGTATGCCACTAAATATGGAGGAAATGTAAGGGTTAAACTAGGAGTCCCTGGGTGGCGCAGACAGTTAAGCAATCGACTACTAGCTGAAGGGTTGGTGGTTCGAACCTTCCCAGAGATGCCTCAGAAGACAGGCCTGATGATCTGCTTCCAAATGGTCACAACCTTGAATACTCTATGGAGCAGTTCTACTCTGCACACATGGGGCTGCCATGAGTAGGACTTAACAGCAGCTAACAGCAGCAACAATAAGGGTGAGACTGCAAGACATGTATTTTGGGTTTAAAGAAAGCTCAAATCTAAATTTAAAAATAAAATTAGACCTTAAAATCACTTTTAGCGCTTTAATGAGATTTTCTGTGATTTGAAGGTCATGATACCTGAGTTTTAATACTAGTTCTGATACCAACTTACCCTGGGGTCTTGGTCAGTTAGCTTTCTCTGGATCATGAGTGATACTTCCTGTGTTGCCTGCTTTGCATGGCTGTTGAGATTTCATAGGATTGGATGACATCAAAGTAAGACAAGCAGTAAAGATAACCAAGTGCAATTATTTATATTATACATTTTTGGTTTTTGTCCTCAGCCCTACCATTGACCATGCCCTGCTGGACATGCCCTTCCTTCCACTCCCTGGGGAGATGCCCTCTGGCTTCCGAGAGCAGCTGGACCACCCATTCTGAAGACACCAGCAGTCCTAGTTTTGGCCCTTCATACACAGACCTGCAGGTCATCAGTGCTGAGGAGCAGACGAGTGGCAAGGCTTCCGGGGCTGACTCAACTGGTAAGGTGGAGCACCAAGCCAGAGGGCTTTGCAAATCACTGTGGTGACCTGTCACCAGTCTTAAAATCCCTACAGCCAGCTCTGTTTACAGAATGAGTACAGGTGTAGCCATCTAGTCAAAAAGCTAGAATCCAGAGTGGTTCAAAATCGCGTTAGGAAAAACGTATAGACAGATCGCCTGGCAAATCATTAGTACTGGGAAACCATTTGACAGCCTATCTCAGTGTGTTGTATTCTGACTGTTCAGTACAAGTACCATTCCCTGTCGGTTTATTTTCTCCTTGGATAACTGAACTATGTGTATTTGCACAAGGCTGAAGCTTTCATCCTGTCTGCTACCTCCCACGTATCATCTCTCCTCAGAGGGAGACAGATTTAAGCAGAAACAAAGTGAATGTTATGAAGGGGAATGAAAATCAGGACTCAGCTACTGTGTCCAGACTACAGATCATTTTGCAGTTATAATGTTTATTCTGTTGTACCTAATTGATATTACACGTCAGCTTGTAAAGTCCCATGATCTCTTTTGTCAAACTTTCCAGTAGGCCTAGCATGGAATGCTGGCTTGCTTTGAGGTGGAATATGGGCCTATCAGCAAGTACTGTATTAGGGGCTAGGTTTCGGAAACCGTTAGGGAAGTATTGTGTGTTCTTGGTGTTTCGGTTATTTGGGCAGAGTATTGTTTTCCTCTGAAAGTGATGTTTTTGTTGTTTTTAGTTGCCGTCATGTCAGTTCCAGCTCATAGCAACCTTAAGTATAACAGAACGAAACATTGCCTGGTCCTGTGCCATCCTCATGATCATTGGTATGTTTGGATCCATTGTTGCAGCTATTGTGTAGTGCCTTCCAACCTAGGAACTCATCTTCCAGCACTATATTGGACAGTATTCTATTGTGATCCATAAGGTTTTTGTTGGCTAGTTTTCGGAAGTAGATCGCCAGGCCTTTTTTCCTAGTCTGTCTTAGTCTGGAAGCTCCACTGAAACCTGTCCACCATGTGACCTTGCTGGAATTTGAAATGCCAGTGGCATGGCTTCTAGATTCATAGCAACACGCAAGGCACCACAGTTTCAGAAACTGACAGACAAGTGATGGCTGAAAGTGATAGAATTACAGAAAGTTTCTCTGTGGCTAAAATTACCCAGCGTGTGATCAATATTTGTTTTTCCTTCTCAAGAATGTGATTTAGGAGGTTGTCTCAGCTCGTTTTTCAGATTTAGGTAGTATTTATTCTCATGATTCGTGCTGTTGGTTGGTTCTACAAGTAAAGAGAGGAATCCTTCTAAAAGGTTTAGACAGGATTCGAGTTGGTATTTGATAATGTTGCAGAGAATCCTAGCATGTCACAGACTCGCTGTCTCATCACAAACTACAGTTCTTTATAACATTTTGTCTTTACAAACTCTCCTCCGATTCTGGTTGATCTCTGTGGCTAAAACTACCTGTCAGTGGCTGAAATCTGCCCCACAAACCCATGCCCACTGTGGGGAGCATTTCACGGATGGGAAGGCACTGCCAGAAGCTGCTGATGGCACCACAGTCAATGGACTGAGGTGTTCAGAAAGAGCGACCCTGCGTTCCTCTTCCCCTTTACCTCTCCTTGCTCTCAGCCTCCCTCCTGAGCCTTCCAGTGGAGGAGTCTGTAGTGTAGTGGGGAAAAGCGCCCAGACTCTGGAGTCAGACTGCTCAGGTTCAAATCCTGGTTCTGCCATTTGCCAGCTGTCTTAGTTATCTAGTGCTGCTATAGCAGAAATACCACAGGTGGTGGCTTTGTCAAACAGAAATTTATCTTCTCACAGTTTAGGAGGCTAGAAGTCTGAATTCAGGGTGCCTGCTCTAGGAGAAGGGAAGGTCATTGTCTCTTTTCAGCTCCTTTCCTTGTCCTCTTGGTGATCTTCATGTGGCATGGCATTTATCGTCCCCTGTTTCTGCCTTTTTGCTGCTTGCTTAATCTGTTCTTCTGTATCTAAACAGATATTGATGTAAGGCACACCCCACACTAATATGCCTCATTAACATAACAGAGAAAACAATTCCCTAATGGGATTATAACCACAGGTGTAGTAGGATTTACAGCACATATTTTGAGGGACACAATTCAGTCCATAACACCACCTATGTGAAATTGGGCAAGATCCTTAATATCTTTACACGTCAGTTTCCTCATCTGAAAAATTGGGATGATAATAGTACTTGCTTCATCAGGCTGTTGTCAGCCCCACGTGAGAGGGTTTGTATAGAACAGCTTACGTGATTCCTGGCACAGGATAAATGATCATCAGGGATACAGCTTCTTCTGTTTCCTGGATCAGAGTTCTTAACTGCCTCAGAGAGGTGGAAGATGGGCCTCTTGCTGAAGGAAAAGTCAGAATATCAGCTTTCAGGGTGTTTTTTCAGTGGCCTCTATGCCTTGTTATTAGGTGAGAATTGCTTTAATTCCTGGAGGCTTAAGTGATGAAAACCAGAGTCCTAGCCTGAAGAGGACATTATTCATCTGCCTCCAAAACTCATAATTGGTTTTTGCGTCTCTCTTTCTTAAAGCCGTTCTAACAGTGTCACAGTTCTCATTGAGAAAACCTCCTCACCTGTTGTTTCAGTCAGGCCCACCTGGCAGGAAGCTGATGGTGCCCTCCAAAGGGTTCATCTGAAGAGAGTTTAATGAAGGGGCTGCTTGCAGGGGTGTGGGTACGATTAAAAGCACTACAACGGATGGAAGAGCACTCAGGGCCTGGGAATAGTGGGGGCCATTAGCAGCCCTCGACCTGATGGGCAATGATTTTGGAGGCAGCAAGAGCTGGAACCATGCAAAAGGGACTCCAGGACAGGTGGTATGGCTGTAGAAAGAACAGAGCCACTGCCAGAGATTCGGTAAGGTGGGAGGGGTTTGGGGGGATAAATACCCAGATGCTTCCCATTGGCAGATCCCAGCTGGAAGCCAGATGGCAATAGAGCCCGCCAGGGTCACTGCAGAGATTCAAATGCAAACACCAGGACTGGAGAATGAATGAGGCTCTTAGTTGCTTAAGTAGGAGGCAGTTTTTATAGCTACAGAGAGGATTAAGATGTAGTGCCTTTTGGCAGCCACCTGCTTTAGCAGAAGGAGTAATAATCACAGCCATCACTTACTGCTTTTGTGTTGTGTACTAGTAACCAGACCCACTGCCTTCAAGTCGATTCTGACTCGTGGCAACTCCATGTGTGTCAGAGTAGAACTGCTCCATAGAGTTTTCAGTGGCTGATTTTTGGAAAGATCACCAGGCCTTTCTTCGAAGGTGCCTCTGGGTGGACTCGAACCTCCAACTTTTCAGTTAACCACTGAGCGTGTTAACTGTTTGCACCTCCCCTGCAAGGAAGGTATCGTTATCCCCATTTTCTAGATGTTACTGAGTCTGAGAGAAGTTAAGAAACTTGTTTAAGGGAACACCACTAAAAAATGGATTGAAGTAGAATTTCAACCTAAGTTCGGCAGACTTCAAAGCCCACACAGTTTCTGGTGGTTCCCAAATCTGGTGGTGCCCCAGAGTCACCTGGGTACTTTGGAGAAATAAAAATTCCCAGCCAACCGAGACTTACTGAATCAAAGTCTCTGGGGGCATGGGCCAGGAATTCACATTTTTATGAAGCTCTCCATTTGTATGATTCTAATGCAGTTGGTCCAAGGAACAGCATTTAGGAATTACCATGTAATATGATTTGGCTTCTTTGAGGTAATTTGAGACATTTGGGGAAAAGCAGGGTAAGGAGAGGACCACAGTGGTGATTCTTCTGAGTTCCCGGAGATCTATAGAGAAGAGTGACATTTTCCTTCAGTAGAATCGTGGACAAATACATGGCTAGTAAATGGCTGAATCAATAATGTGAAATTTACCTTGAATATAAAAATATTAATAAAAATAGTACTCATATATAAATTAGTTATTTGAAATTCGCCAGGTACGGTTCTAAATTCTTTAGATGGATTATCTAAGTAAATCCTCAAAATAAACCTGTCAGGTAGATACTGTTATAGCCCCCAGGTTACATATGTGGAAACTGAGGCACGGAGAGGTTAAGTAAACTTCACAGGCTCACATAGCTGGAGCCCCAACTACAAGGCTCATCTGCCACCCTGTGCACAGTGAAACCCTAATAAACAGCTTGAGGGCACTCGGGTGCACACTACTTTGCAAGATTTGAATTGCACAGTCTGTGAAATCTGCTGAGAGTAATGTTTTCCACTGGAAGAGTGGTTTGTCTGGAGATGTGGGGTTCAAATGCCTTAATGCAAGGAGGTATATAGGGTGTTAGCCAAGAGCATGAGCTTTGCAGTCAGAAAGAACTGAGTCCTAGAGGAGGGAGTATACAGTCATCAAAAGCTCAGCTATGGCAGCTGAGCTATCTGGGTTCACAACCTGGCTGATGTACTCTTAACCCTTGGGAAAATTGCTGACTTCTTAAAGCCTGAATTTTCCCTTTGTAAAATGGAGATAGGCTGTGCTCCTTGGTCGTGTGGATCAAATAGGATGACCCAGGAAAAGCTCTGAGCAGTGCCTGGCTTGTAGTAAGCTCTGTCATGTTAGACCACTTGGATACTTTCATATGGCTTTGCTTATTCTGTGTGATTAACACAGAAAGAAATGTTTATGTGGCATGTGTGTTAGATGAACCCCCATGCAATGATTTTTTGAAATACAAGCAACACAGAAGTATACTGAATAAAATCAAAAGTTTCCCTTATTCTGTCTTCTCTCTACCATCCCAGAGGTCACCTCAGTTATCAGTTTGCTGTTACCTTCCAGACCTTGTTACTGCACAGCTACATATGTTGTTTATTGTTGTGAGTTGCCATCCAGTCGCCCTTGACTTGTAGTGACCCCATGCACAATGGAACAAAGCGCTGCCTGATCCTGCACCATCCCCATGATCGGTTGTGGATCAGACCGTTGTAATCATAGGGTTTTAATTGGCTGATTTTTGAAAGCAGATAAGCTAAAACCAAACCAAACCCGTCGCCATCGATT